TTCTGGATATTGTTCTTCAATATGTTGGTTATATAATTCTCCACTGACTCCCGAACAATCTGATACCTCATCATGGCAAGCATTATGTATATTATTAACAAAAACTTGTTCGCGTAGCTCATGAACTTCTTTTATAAGCTTGTCCAAGGTCGAATTAGACTGTTGGGCGTGCTTATTCTTCTTGCGGCGAGAGCGGCGTGACCGCTTGCTACGTTTAGGAGAAGATGAACTTGAAGAGCTACTAGAGGTCGTGCTGCTACTAGAGCTGCTAACATTTCTTTTGCGGGTCTTTTTACTCGGGCCGGCCACAACTTGTGGTTCGGCAGCAGAAACATTTACTTGATCATCCATTATCACAATAAAACCTTCAAATAAATGCACATTCAAAAAATACAAAACACACTTTCAAATTAAAACATAATAAGATTGACACCACACACAAATATTAAAAGCATTAAGCATGTAATAAATCTTCGAATGGAATAATCCGTTGAAAGTATTGATCACTTTTTAAAAAGTCGGGTAGGTACTTACAGTTTTTCTTCAAAATTAACTCACCATTTAATCGGCAAAATATTGATACTTAACTGTATAAAGATAATAATTCGAACGGAAAAACCGTTAAAATATATTAAGAACAAAAGATAAGAATATTATAGTGTAAGTTCGTGCATCGGTCGGGAACCGATGTACACGACTTGCTTCGCCGGAGAACGAAACGCCAATGAACAAAATGTTGCTCGGACATTTTACGAAACTAAAATGGCAAGCAAACACCAGGTGGCGCCACTGGGTAGTCAAAAAAGTACTTAAAATCGATAAGAAATCGCCGGAAACGGATATGCTCTCTCCAATAATAAAGCTTCCAGTGACGGTCAAGAATTTAATAATTATGTACATTTTTGTCAACCCTAACAGTCCAATGAAAGGTTTAAAGATATAAATAATATTTACCTACGATATCATTAATATTTGCAAAGTAAATATTTGAATAAAAATTAATCTCAATTGAATGTAAACTTCTATTCAAGTTCAGTAGTAAATAAACTAAGTTAATCACGAAACTGCCTGACTAAAACTGATGTAAAAGTTTTACGTAACCAAACTGGATTGTATGAAGCACATTAATCATTCGATCCTTTGACCGAAACATAATTAAGCACCGATTATTTAAGTAAAAGTTATCTGCGAAATAAAACCGGTTTCTCATGTTTATATGGAAAAGAAATCAACTTGCCGAAAGTATTCACTTGCAAAAAACAGTAATAAATTATAAATAACATAGCATAACATCACGCCTTTTATTCCCGAAGGCGTAGGCAGAGGCATTATAGTGACATTACGGCATGTAATGTCATGTTATATAAAATTAAAACTAACTATTACTTAAATAAAAACTTAAATAAAATTAAAACTAACTATTACTATCTAAATTAAATTTATATAACTTAAGATTAAAATTATTTAAAAGAAAAACAAAAAGAAATTAAGGTTTTATTTGAATAAAATCTTATTTTAATTGTTCTGTTTGTTTTTTTTTTTTTGAGTAATATGACTGATTTATGCTGCAGGGATTTATATTGCAATGTTGATTATGATTATGAAGACATTCAGATACAATGTAAATTGTTTATTGAATAAATGAAATCCACGAATCTAAACTAATGCTGTCATGATGTAGTTACAGTTTGTAATAATATGGGGTACAATGAGTTAAGGGTAAGACGGGATTTTGCACTTACCTCACATTTGTTTAAAATATTAAGAGGAAAGCTGCACAATGCAGTCATTTTAGGACAGCTGAGTCTATGTGTTCCGGATAGGTACGTATGGCGACGCCGGCGACCGCCACTGCTGGTAGAACCCCGCGGTCGGACCAACCTATTAAGGGAAGCGCCGCTGACGCGTGCACTTCGCACGCTCAACCTGATTTCTAATGAAATCGACCTATTTTGTTGTACTCTGGGTGAATTCACAAGGAAGGCATTATATGTAATATGCTATAGGTAGATAGTAAGATGAGCACATTTATCGCATTGGGCATCTGTAAAGATAAATGTAAGTGGAATAAATAAATAAAAAAAAAAATAAATAAATAAATATTACGAAAAGATACCAAAGGAAGAAAAAAAATATTACGAAAACATAAATAATATCATTTAATCGAGGTATACCTCGTATAAAAAACAATTCCATGTCATTTAAACAACTTATAATTACTAAACCTTACATAAACTGACAAGAAAACAAAAAACTAAATCATAATATAAGGAATTACTAAATCCATCTTACAATAACACAAAAAAGGCCTAAACTAAACGCTAACCAATAAAATATAATCTCTAAACAATAGTTATTGAGATAAACTTTATCAATAGGTACAATATAATCATTGTGATTTCTCCTTCCCAACAGACGAATACACACAACAAGGCTAGAAGCGGCGGCCGGCAGACGTCTTGAAAAAACAGTGCTCAAATACAAAAAAAAAACAGTGATAAAAATGGTGGTCAAAATAGCAACTCAAGTGGCAAACAGTGCAAAAAAGGAAGACAGTTTAGCGAATTTATTGGGGGATTTCGGAAAATGGCAGCTTATAGTTTTCGCTTCAGTGTCTCTAGTGAAACTGAGTTCAGGATGGGTACAGATGGCAATATTATTCCTGACCCCAAACCTTACATTCCGATGTGCGGATTTGGCAAATTACACCGAGGAGATAATGAACAATACTTGTTATAAAGGATGTGGTAAATATGAATATGACACAAGTCCCTTTGACAACACTATTGTATCTGAATGGGACCTCATCTGTGAGCGGCGATGGCTCGCCAGCTTCAACCAGACGGTGTTACAAGTCGGTATCCTGATTGGCAGTACCATATTTGGATTTTTGTCTGACCGGTAAGTCAATATTCCTTAATTTTAAAAGCAACGTTCACCATACTATTTCTTTTTAGGTCAAAATTTGTTAATGATTACTTTTATATTATGGTTTTTTATGATCTACCCACCCTGCCTCACGATAGCGATGAGAAAAATTTTTTTGATGCCTTACGGTAACGTTTATTTATGATTATTTTTATTTAAATTGTAATATTTTAGTTTTGAATATTAGTGTAAATATAGTTTAATTACAGAGATGTCTTTATAACTATATTATATTTATTTGCACGTAGTTATGTGTCATTCCACTTTTTCCCTACCATCGGGCCTAAATCACGAGGATAGTTTAAAAATAATATTTCTGAATTGAATGGTGTTTGAGTATTAGCTAACTACAAAACGGAGAGTAGGTTAGGTTAGAGATGTTGCAAAACAAAAATCTAGCGTTCACTTTTGATTTCAAAAATACTCGTAGATACGTACGTACGATTATTTTCGAAATCGAAAAGCGAATACGAAATAGATTCTGATTGGGTATTAAAGATTCTCATAACATAATTAAGCAATAACTGCGCAGTTGGCGCGGCCGTGTAATGTGTAGCGGGTTCGATTCCTGCACGGACCAACTCTCAGTGTGATCCACAAATTGTTGTTTCGGGTCTGAGTATGACGTATATGTAAACTTGTATGTAAACGCAACCACGATAAAGGAAAAAATCCTAGCGTGGGTGGTTTTAAAAAGAAATATGCAAATGCAATCTGCTTTCTACTGAACTACTGAATACTGGCGTCCTTTGCTTGTATGGATTTGCCCGCACGAAACAAATCTTTGTGTGCTCCACAAATTGTTGTTCCGGGTCTGGATGTCATGTGTATGTTTGTAAATGCTTTCACGATACAGGAAAATAACATAGCGTGAGACAACCTTAAAAAAACACCTAAAAGGGCCACGAATAATTGTTCTTTTCTTGCACCCAAGGGCCCCAGCGTAGTCTAAGACGGCCCTGGATGTCTCGAATATCTCAGTGCTAACCATGTTTAAAAAATTGTTGTAGGTCAACATGTTTTTTAACCTTTTTCCTTACTACACTTTCTTCGATAATTATTTATCAAAATCTACAAATCTGACAGATATAAGATTTTTGAAGGGCTGATAGCAGTCGGTAGCTGTCTGAAATCACGACAGTGCAATGATGACAAGGGGTCACCCTTGTCGAATGTCCTACGCTTTCATGCCTGACCCTCTCAATAACTATAAATAATCTTATCAAATCTGATTTTATTTGGTGCATCCGTTTCGGAGATAAACGTGGACATTTATTTCGGAGATGCATATTATTGATTATATTTTGTAATCATACACAAACGTCGCTTTAATATTAAAACTTGCGAAAACGGACATTTATTATTAGGTTAATTGACATTTGAATTACGATGAGCCTAATGCAATTCACACATTGGAGCCCAAATGGTCCCGTACAGTTTGGTTTCAGAGGACTTTCCTCCCACGGACCCTCCGATTGTGTAATGAACTCCCTACCGTAGTTTTCCCAGTGGGCTACAACATGGGGTTCTTCAAGAGGGGAGTGAATAGGTATCTTAAGGCTCAGCAAGACACATGTAATGTAAAGTGTTGCAGGCGTACATAGGTCACGGTAACAGCTTACCATCAGGTGGGCTGTGTGCTTTTTTGCCACCGTCGTGGTATAAAAAAAAATCTTAGTCAGGTACGATATAAAATGCATTTTTGATGGCACACATACCTTGGAATATTGTTATGATTGAAATATTAATTTATCAATTATCAAGTCATTAAAACGAATGTTTCTCGCAATCCAACAGATCATTCGTACATTGATAATATTTAAAACTAATAACCTTAACTCGTCGAGTACTGGTTTTGTAGACACAATTATAGAACAATAGGTTGTGGTCACCGGTGACCGCTTGGTGTTTGACAGTTTAATGCAACATAATAATATATTTACATGAAAAGATATAATATGCTCCGTAACGTATCGAGTGTTTAATGGATTTCCACCCGGAACTACTCTTTATGTGATAAATTGATCATCATTGTAATAATGTCAAAAACAGTTTCACGTTAAAGTGGAAAATCGAATGCAACATCTGTTATTTGTATTGGAGGAGGAAAATCATCCATTGACTTCTCCCGCCTGGGTGAGGTGAGAGGAAGTGTCAGACTCTTACTGACTAAATATCGCCCCGTTCCTAACTCCTACTCTTCGAGCTGAAGCCCTGGCAACCCGTTGTCTTCCGCGGCTCCGATGGAACAACGCTTGAGTTGTGTTTCGTCGTAAGAATGAAGTTACCAAAGGTCGGTCAACGACGCGCTTGAACTGTTCGGGTGCTGTAGGTATCCATTGACGGCGCTGATCATGTGATCCGTCTATATGCGTCTACTAGTCTGCTATGCTATACTATAAAATAAAAGTAACATAACATCACGCCTTTTATGTATGTAGGCAGAGGTGCACATTATGCCACTGTACAATGTAACACCCACTTTTCACTATTTATGTTATGTGTCCCATGTAATAGGGGGTGAGCCTATTGCCATATACCGGGCACAATTCCAGTCTCCGTGCTACTACTCAAAATTTTTAAAAAACCCAGTAATACTTTCCCCGACCCGGGAATCGAACCCGAGACCCCTTGCCCGGCAGTGGCACTTGCGACCACTCAGCCAACGAGGCAGTCTAAATAAAAGTATTACAATGTTTACACTAGTTAGTAACGGCAACATTATTTAGTTAACATTTATTTTATCTGCACGAATACTGCGCGTTAATACTGTACTAATTCAATGGCTACATCACGACTTCGAGTTTCGCATTAGAAAAAAAACAATGATAATGTACATACATAGTTATTTTTTTATAAGCGATCTTTTTGCTGTAATATCCTGTTCTTTTTTTAATGCATGTCGTAGCAGCCCTTAATTAAGGTTACACTATACAATGTTAAATTACCTATGTTAAAAACCTATCATGTATTTTGGTGTATGCTTTGTTGGTTAAACAAAGCTAGCTAGCTCCGCTCGGATTAATAGTAGGATTGGAACTACAATTAGGTACTAAAAATAATATTTGTGCAGGTACAATTACACTAGTCTCTATGAAGTACACTTGTGAAGTTAGCCTACACAATAGTACTCACAATATGGTACCGTTAGACGCAAGATATTTGCATAATAGTGTAATTGTTCAGCGTCTAAACTTTAATGTTATATTCTTCGTTTCAGCATTGTTGCGCAGTATGTATACGAAGTTTATGTAATGTAACATTACATTACACGTTCAAAGCAAAAGAAACAAACTTCAATTACCAACAAAAACGTAATGAGAAAATAAAACCAAAAATCTTATTAAAGCCGAACTCTCAAACGTAATCTAATAAAAACGTACGTTCACAGGGCAATTATAGTGAATACATATTTTTTATGTCAAATGTACTGGTATAACACTAGCAAATAGTTCAATAGTTTTTTGACTTTATTAATAAAAACAGTTTAAAGTCGTTTGAATCAATCCGACAATTTCATCGCACACCTAATAAGCATAGCTCCGGCACGGTTCCAAACTCCAACCCACATCTCCAACCACTCATAAACTTGTTATTTAAATATAAACTTTAATCAAAAACTGTAAGCGCGACGCCCATGCGCTTACAACCTATGTGTATTATTTGTAAAGCAAAAAACGCCGTGCCGGAGCCATCCTGGAGCCGTGTCCTTGATCCCTTGGTATGCTGCGTTACACAAATGACAATCGTAACATCATAATAGCAATTCAAATAATTTCAATTATGAATGCGTAAAGCATTCGTTAAACAATGGAAAAAGAAACATTAAAATGAACTAAACAATAGATAAAAACAAAACAAAAACCTTAAAAAAATGACAATACCGCTTGTCTTGACAAAAAAATCGAATCGATGAACCCGGCAGTCGCACTTGCGACCACTCGGCCAACGAGATAGTCCTCAAATTTAATCATATATTACTTCGTTCGTAATGGCTATGATAGATTTATAGTTTCATAATCATAAGTTGTTAATTACTAAGTATAATAACAGCTACGAATAGATAATCTATCAAAACTCACCAAACAATACCGTATTTTAAACTAGATGGAGTTAAACACAACTTGCCGCTTTGGATACTACAGTATGCGTGGGCGTATGATGCTATTTTTTTTTTGGTTACCGTACTATTCATGAACGTTTGAGTGGATATTATTTAAAATTACATTATCTAGTTTAGACCTCAACATTACGTCTGAGAATGCGACAGTAAGTTTCAAAAAATGCAATTCGAAAGTGTGGCTCTCTGTCTGGCTGTCTGGAATGTGTAGTCGAACTATGAATGTGAACAAATTAGTTTTTATAGTTAGCGACCCTATTTTTTGCTAATATAAGGCTAATTTTTGTCTGACATGTGTATTGTGTATAATTTGTGGCGATATGTAGTATATAGTATTATAGTTAGAGACTCTATTTCTGTACACACAAAGTTGATTTTTAAGTGACAATTTTTTGTAGTATTCATGTTCTAAAAACCTTTGTGATTAGTTATTATAATATTGCATTGCGCTACATATTGCACTTTATTAACAAAAGGGTAGACAGAATGGCACTTGTATAAGAAGCTGTTTTATAAGTCTCTTATAGTAATTAACTACATACATATTCCTATGAAGTTTTTGCTCGTTTTTCTCCATAGAAGTCTGCGTGACACTTTTAATTTTTTCTTTATTTGACGTGTTAACGTGCCTTCCTGGGCTAATGGAAATAACAGATTTTGACTTTGACTTTGACTTTATTATGTGTTGTTTCAAACCCAAGACGTCTTTCTTGACATGATTAGTAGCAGTAACCTTTTTATTGTAAAAATATCATATGAATCAATTTGAAAGAAATAAAATAAATAATTAACATAGGCATTATAATACTGCGTCGTTGGATCTCGAGTTCGATTTCCGGGACGGGCAAAGTATTACTGGGTTTTTTAAAAATTCTGAGTAGTAGCACGGAGTCTAGAAATTTACTCGGTATATGGCGATAGGCTCACACCGATTACATGGGACTCATAACATAAATAGTAAAAAGTGGGTGTTACATTGTACAGTGGCATTAGGTGCCGTAATTTGCAGCACTGCCTACCCCTTCGGGGATAAAAGGCGTGATGATATGTTATGCGGATGTTTTATATCTCACGCCTGTCTCCCTTGGGGGTAGGAAGAGACTATGGATTGCCAATTGTTACGACTCTTTCATACCTTTTTCTCTCCTCAACAGTGATCACTTGCTATCATGCATGCTCGTGAGTTAAGGTATTATAATACCTATGTTAATATCAGTAAAACCTTATCGTAGTACTCAAGATGTCTATGATAATAAGAGATTAAGAATAATGGTAATAGCAGAGAGTATGAATACTATAAGTATTGTTACATGATTAAGATAAGCAGAGGCCTAAATATAAATAAGTAGGGACATAATATGCCTGACTTCCTCGGTGGCCCAGTGGTCGCAAGTGCAACTGCTGGGCAAGAAGTCTCGGGTTCGATTCCCGGGTCGGGTAAAATATTACTCGGTTGTTTAGAAAATTCTCAGCAGTAGTATAGAGTCTGGAATTGTGCCTGGAGTATGGCAATAAGCTCACCCCCTATTACATTGCATATAACCTTTACACTGTCGTGATTATATTCCTTTTCCTTTCGCAGGTCTGCAGGAAAAATTCCTTAAGGGATATGCAGTACCTATGTACCTCATGCTTTTAATGTGTTGTCCTCTGTAATATTGCCTGCTTTATGGTGTAGGTACATGAAATGATAAATTAGGGGCATTAAGTGCCGTAATGTAGGTACACCTCTCCTACCCCTTCGGGGATAAAAGGCGTGATGTTATGTTATGTATAATATGTCTAACTAAATAGGCAATGTTTTCAAGTGAAAGAGCAATACTTAGGCCCGGCTAGGCCGGTTAGACCACAACCATGCAAAAGAAATATAGAATAGGTACCAATGGTATAAAAAGTTATGACGTGGTTGAGTATCAAACATACAGACAAACTCACAAACTTTAGCTTTTATAATATATATTCGTAAGAAGTAAGATAGTAGATAGATTCCTCAAACTCAAACTCAAAAGCATTTATTACAATTAAACCATAATTTGGTACTTTTGAAACGTCAACAAATATGTATAAAATAAATAATAGTCTGTCCGTCAGTGAAGCTAGGCGCTCGTTCCAAGATGACGATTCGAGTGGAGAAGAACGAACAAGAAACTCCATACGTTACTCTTTTCAAAAAAGTCTGTTTTACACTGCTCTATCTGTATTCCAATATTGTACCGCCTAAAACTCCTTCACAATTTTCAGTCAGATTTTCGAACTTAGAACTCTCGAAACAAGGCGAGTGCATTACTATATTGTATTGTGCGTTATCTAATCTTGTATGAACCTTATTAAAATGTTTCGAATCACATTCACAATGTTGATATAGCGTTAATGCAATGTAATGCAATAGATGTTGCTAGGGTACCTAGGTAAAGGAAACATCCATGTGATTACGTCACATCATCTAATCTAGCATCTACCTCTAAGTAGATAATTATTAGGTTGGTTTATAGCTACCATCAATTATAACATTACCTACATTAAATAGTATCTGAATTAAAAAGGAAGAGACACGTATTTTTAATTAAAATCAAATAAGTAAATTCTAAACCCAACTAACAAATTTACTCCCTACATCAATGACTGACCTGATGATCCCGGATCGGGTAAAGGTTTGAAGTTTTCAAAAATTTTCAGCAATCCCACGGAATCTGGGATTGTGCAGAATATGACATCCATAATATAACAGCTGCTCTTTGTACATCTGCTCCCTCGAACCCTTCGAGGTTTTAAAGATGTATTTATATTAATGAACTACCTATATTCCACACAGATATACTCGCGGACAAAATCAAATAAATAACAAATGTCAGAAAATGTGGCAATATATTTATCCTATACATTTCAGGTATGGCCGCAAAAAATCATTCTTGGTGGCGATATCCACCCTGATCATCTTCGGTCTAGCGATGCCATTCTCGCCAAACTACCTGGTGTTCACGATACTGCGGTTCCTGACGGGTCTGGCGACGTCTGGCACCATGGTGGTGTCTTTTGTGATGGTCATGGAAGCGGTGGGCCCAAGGTACAGAGAGGTCACTGGGTGCTTGTTCCAGATACCTTTTATTATTGGTTAGTATTGGTCTTTTCTCTTTTTATGGTATAAGCCGGTAAACGAGCAGACTGATCATCTGATGGTAAGCAATCGACGTCGCCCGTGGACACCTGGAACACCAGAGGCGATACAAGTGCGTTACCGGCTTTTTGGAATTGGAAAGAAATTTGAGAATTGTTGGGGATTCAGGGATTGGGGAAGGGTGGGAGGCCTCCTTATCTATTGTAAATATATTCTTAGAACACACTCCAACCAGTCAATGACTCCAGGTTGGCTGGGGAGGCCTAAGATCAGCAGGGAACGTCTTGTGGGCTAAGATACTTGATTACATGATATACCGACTGCCTCTTGGAAGTAGCAGCAAAGCCAGCAAGCATTTAAAACCTACAAGGCTTCCAAGCATGAACAACACTTATTATAATTTCTTAATTTTCGAATTTGTTTGGTCTCGTCCGATTTAAAAATCTTTTTGTGTTGTATACTCCATTTATCGAGGAAGCTTATAGGCTATAAAACATCACGCTACAATCTATAGGCGCTGAGCAGAGCGGGTGAAACTAAGCGGAATTTGCTAGTATAATATAATTTTGCTAAACACGGCCTCTCACTTCTGACTGATAGAGAACCACTAACCAGACATGATCAGAAGAACAAATATATTTATTGTTTAGTTACTTATAACTGAGTTCTATCATTAGGGTCGAATCCAAGGTCTTATCTAACTGGATTTCCAACTTCTAGACTAATAAGGAAATGTGACCTTTATGTTTATTTTTATTACTCGATCATGCGATACTAATTTAGCATCTGGAACAAACTATAATTATTTACAGTAAATACTAAAATTATTGAACTTATCCGCATCGAATTCAAATCACTTCTGCACAAATTAGTTTCAGACAAAAAGCTCGAATTATGTTACCTTTACACCCGGCTATTAATAAAACTGACTATTGAACACTCCATAATATTAATTTATTACATTGAGGTCCTCTGACATTGTTACAATACATAATGTTAATTATTATGTTTTCGGCTTACTCACGTAATTATTTGACGAGGAACTCGACTAGTTTCAAGTCATGCTAGAGGCTCATATTTATGAGTAGCATTCCGCGACCTGCGTCGCGCTGCTAGTCAGTAGCTTTTATGGTTCGAAACTAGTCGAGTTCCTCGTCAAATAATTACGTGACTAAGCCGGAAAACATAATAATTTATTTAGTATGTCTCACAAAAGTGACAATACAAAAATACATAATGTTATTACAGTTGAGCCTCAAAATTATGTTAATTAATTGTAATTAGTAAAGATGTTCCTAAACACTAGACTGTCTCGTTGGCCGAGTGGTCGCAAGTGCGACTGCAAGGGGTATCAGGTTTGAATCCTGGATCGGGCAAAGTATTACTGTGGTTTTTTAAAACAATTCTCAGTAGTAGCACGGTGTCCAGAATTGTGTCCGGTATATGGCAATATGCTCACCCACTATTGCATGGGGCTCATAACATAAATAGTGAAAGGTGGGTGTTACATTGTACAGCGACATTAAGTGCCATTCATTGTGTAATGTGCTCGTCAGCCTACCCCTTCAGAGATAAAAGGCGGGATGTCAAACTATGTTATCTTCCTAAACAATTGAAAATTAATGTTCCAGGTCACATGACGATACCACTCTTCGCGTACTACTTCAGGAGTTGGAACACCTATCTGCTGGCGCTGGGGATCCCTCCCCTGATCTACTTGGGCTACTTTTTCGTGCTGCACGAGTCTCCACGGTGGCTGGTCAGCGTTGGGAGAGTCAAGGAAGCCACTGACATTGTCACCAGGGCTTGTATCTTGTTAGTACTTTTTGTTTGAGGATTGATGCTAGATGCTGCCAGCAGATCCCTCAACATGTGTAGACCAGACCATTATCTACCATTTTCTAAATTTCATCCCGATCCCTTCAACTGTTTTGACGTGAAGGAGTAATAAACAGACAAACAAACTGATTTAAGATTTAACATAACATCACGCCTTTAATCCCCGAAGGGGTAGGCACACATTACGGCACTTAATGCCACTGTACAATGTAACACCCAGTTTTCACTATTTATGTTATGAGTCCCATGTAATAGAGGGTGAGCCTATTGCCATATACCGGGCACATCTTTAGACTCCGTGCTACTACAGAGTTTTTTTACAAACCCAGATTGTACTGAGTCATATAAGATATCAGTCAAAGGACTGCGTCGTTGGCCGAGTGGTTGGGTCGGGCAAAGTTAATACTTTGCCCGACCCGAGAATCGAACCCGAGACCCCTTGCCCGGCTGTCGCACTTGCGACCACTTGGCCAACGACGCAGTCCTTTGACTGATATCTTATATGACTCAGTGCAATCGTTAACCCAATTGTTAAGTTCCCGTATGATTTTATATCTTTACTTGTTTAGTATTTATCCCAGTAGCTACTTACTTAAATCATAGAATTTTACTACAAAGATTACTGAGGCCCTAGACACGGGTATTGTTATTGTGACACAATGTGCAAATTATTAGCAACTATTATTGTTTGATTGTTTGAGTAAAATGTCGTGGTGGCCCGGAGGTTTAAGATCCCGCTTCTCATGCATGAGAATGCGGGTTCGAAACTTAATAACGGCAAGTACCAAGTGTCACTTTTTCCGAGTTATATGTACTTTCTAAGATTATCTAGACACTACTGACAAACGGTGAAGGAAAACAGCGCGACGAAATCTGGGCTTATAATTTTTATAAGTTGGGAATCCGAATCATAACAGTATTCGGAATCCTACACGTGCCGTAAAGTTTAAATAACTATTAACAGTTCAAATAATTGCTATACGATAACAATTAATCTTTCTCTAATACCTCACAAAAAACCTCAGCCATATTTGCATGATCGTAAAAATGGCATCAAGCTACAAGTCAGGCGTGTGATATGAAAATGAATCTTATTTAACATGGTAATAAGGCACATAGAGTTAAATTGAATGAGTGGAAGGATAGTAAATATTGAAACAATTTATAGGCCTTCTAGATCTTTATTTTCAGTAGTAAAAATTATATAGAAATAAAACGAACAAGTACTAACTTAGTTTACATACTTATTCTTATCAAAATTCATGGTCCTATTGAACTAGTTTTTGTACGTCACTGTGTCACATTCGTTCCAGGCACTTTCTACCACTACAAGGTTTAGTTTTGCAATTTTGCTGAGAATCTAAATCGGTACAGATATGTTACCAATACTAATGTAAAAGTATTTACAAATCAAATTGTATGTGGTTACGTCACTATAAGTTATTGTAATGTTATGCTATGCCAATATTCAAATCGGTATAATTAAACCAGTATCTGATTACCAAAAACAAAGTGCAAGAAACGATAATACGAAACGTTCACAACCAATTCAATACTAGAGTCTGGCAAAGTATCAAATATTCACGAAATTATTCATAGGCAGGCACTGTGTGCTAATTTCAAACCTAAAGTTTTGTATTATGTATTTATGCTGAACATAAACAACAATAACCATAACAGATATCTGATCCAATACAGTAGATAAAACTTTCGTTACTATTAAATCTATTAAACCTACCAAAAATCACCTTCGACCATTAGACAAAGAGATAGCACTCTTTGTTACACATAATATTTAATTTTCCATCCCGCAAAGAAACACCACCATTTCTTATCTTAATCACCCCCATCTTTTCAATTATAGAAATGACAGACCAACAGCAAAAGTCGAGGAAACTCTCACACAAATGTCGAAGGAGATTGCTGCTAAAGCTGACGAACCCAAGCCTAATTACCTGGACCTGTTCAAGAAGTTCCTGCTGTTGAAGACAGTCTGTTGCTGCATCATGTGGGTGATTACCGGCATCATCTTCTTTGGCTTCAACCAGTACATCAGTCAAACCAGCCCGGATCCGTTCATCAGTGTTGCTCTGGCTGGTGCTATACAGGTAGCTATTATAACTAATTTGCCTCTCTAAGGGCCTATTTTTCAATCATCAGTAAAATTAACTGAAGAATAAAATTGTCAGTTGACAGTTTTTAGTATGGGAGAATTGTCAAATATTGAAAATTATTCCCGAGTTAACATTTATGTTATCATTGAATAATTGGCCCTCAGTTTAGTTGCAAACAATTTTAGCAAGATCTCCGAGTTATGTTCGTTCAGACAAAAATAAATATACGGAGGTCGATCTCTAGAAGAAGTACAGCTATAATATCGGGATTCTCAAATTCTGAATAGCTCATTGAATTAAAAATCTGTGTACATTAAATAAGAATAAGAATAATTTATTTAGCAAAACAAAGGACAAGTATACCTATTATTTAACAGAAAGCGATAATGAATACATAGAAATCACAATCACAATTGCAAGGTAGACCAAAAAATACTAGTTTATAATGCATACATACAAGTTAACATAAGCAGTGGCATTTCTGTAGTATCAATAATACACAGCAACAGCAATCCTATAATACACCTTGCAAACAAAAGTAATTTAACTCAGTAATTCACAAGACAATAAGTTTGATACCAAAAGTGTAATAAATGTCCACAGACGGTATACGTAGATTTTTTACTTTACCTCCCGTGCTAGTCAAAGACTGTGTTACGGCAAGGTAAAAAAAGGTTCTCGCTCGAACGATTTATTTTCAATCATGTAACATTAAATTGTTGCCGTTTTCAAGCCATGAATGTTGATAAAATAAGAACCTAACTAAAAACGAAAGAATACCGAATAATAATCCATGCTGTATGATAAATTAGCATTTAAAACTAACTTTAACACTCCTTACTTTACTGTCCAGGTCCCCTCCAACCTACTCTCAATATGGCTCATCAAGAAGTTCGGCCGAAGACTGACCGCCTCTATCTCCTTCATCATGCAAGGAGTCTTCATCTTGATCCTTTACTTCGTGCCCAAGATCTTCGCTGTGACCCTCATCATTGGCACTTTGGGAGTCAGCTGTTCTGCCATCGCTGCTTCTACCATCTACATTTATACTTCGGAGCTTTACCCAACTGTGCTCAGGAATATGGGGATGGGAGCTTGTTCCACTGCAATGAGGATAGGTTCCATGGCTGCTCCCTTCATCTCCAACACATCGACAACTATACCTTGGTTACCTACGGCCATTTTTGGAACAACGCCCGTATTAGCTGGCCTGGTGGCTCTCTTGCTGCCAGAGACTAAAGGCAGGAGTCTACCTGATAGTATTGAGGATGTACGGACGACTGATTCTGACTGATACTGAACGATGAATCAGTTATTAAAGAAGAATCCTAATGTGGTCGTAATTTTTTCATGGTGGTGCTACCTTCCCAAATCAGTGAGGGCATTATTATCCTGGCTGTTATTGTAGAAAACAAACTCAAAAATATAGGCACATGACAGGCTTAGCACCACTTGACACTGGTTCAAGATGTATTTAGAGTTCACTATTAGAGTGTTATGAAGTATGTGTGTGTGTGTGTGTGTGTCCACATACAAGGATGAATTTCTCATAACATTATGGAGATCATCTTTCTTTGAAAAAAAATACCTGAAAATATTGAAACAAACAGTATTCAAAATACACTCGTTTTGTTGGTAGCGCCTAAGTGAAAAATTCAATTTGTGATACAATAAACAAATGTGATATTTTAAAGTTTTAGCAACAACATTAAATATTACCGTTTTTATGATTCCACGTTTAAATGTGTAGAGATTTTAACCGACTAACGTACGAAACTGAAAGGCAACTTTAAGTCGCGCTTAAGTGTCACGGAGAACCTAACGGGTTACCGGGGCTCCGGCTCGACGTGCAGAAGAAGGAACGGGGTGGTTTTTAGTCTTTTAGTCAGTAAGAGTCTGACACTCCCTCCCGCCTCACCCAGGCGGGAGCAGTCATTTGATGATTTTCCCCCCTTTAAAAAAAGAGTAGCGCTTAAATATACTTGTCACTACAAATTCTTTGTAGACTGACAACGATGGCACTGTGGCGACACATGTCACATGACAGATAAAAAAAACGATTCTACGGATGACGTCAAGAAATCCTACATCGCACATGCAAAGTTTACAAGCGAATTAACACGGATAGAACATCCCAACGAACAACTGTCGGGCAGAGAGCCCGCCAGGCACGACCATCTCGCCTGGTCGGAGGATCCTCCTTTTCCAATCTTAGGGAACTATACTCTGCCTAAAGCACTATAATTAAGGTACAACTTAAGATTTAGTAGCCTTTCAGTATTTGGGCGTTAGTAAAAGATTGCTCGATAGGTTATTAGTCCATTAAAGTATACGTTAATGTAAGTGTAATTAATGTCATTAAGTGGAATATCTATGATATAGGTAAGAATTTAAGGTGCCTTATTCTTAAGTGCCAAGCATAATGTCTCGAGTTTGGTACCGGGATCGTACAAAATGTTAATAAGATTTAGTGTTAATTTCAAAATCCACGTAGGTACAATTCTTTTGTGCCTACGATAGTAGAAATACCTTAAAATTAATTATAAGTATGTAATTAGATTTATGTGCGATTGCCAAGTAAATAGATTAGCTTCTTCTCGTAAAATACTCACTATTGACAGAACATGTGAAAACAATGCACTTTTACTTTTAAAATAATGCTAATTGTGTATGGTAAATAGATCTTTGTTGATGTAAATATAGGCTTCAAAATAATACCTTCATAAATAACAGTGCCTTCACTAGAATTCGTCGTGTATAAATAGTACCTACTTAGTTTAAATACCAATATTATTAAAACTTAGTGTCAAATGTGAAATAAAATTATATGAAAATAGTGATAATATCT